GCCACAGTCATGGTTCAGTGGTCCAATCAGGACTCTTGTTTGAAATGTTAGGACAGAAAGGCTTTCTCTCCCAAGAGATGTGAACAAGAATACATACGGACCCAAATGCCACTGGAAGCCATCCTACAATCATGAAGGGAACAGCAATAGACTGACATCACAGAAAGCAGAACAGAAACGGAAAGAAACTGGTCTTTAATATTACTGGGTTACTCCTAAGTCTTGCCTTACCTTTGGACTTGCAGATAATTGAGCTATAAATCCTTTTTATTGTGTTTAGAACAGTAAAGAGTTTTCTTTTACTTACAACTTGAAATACAAACTTAACAGGGGGAGGGGGAAAGCACATTAACAAGCATGTTTCTAGACTGGATTACTCTCAACCCTTAAATTTATGATGGCAGGTAGTAAGGAGGAAATAATTCTAGATACACACACATAAAATACAAACATGCTAAATGATTATCTTTCTAATAAAGGTTCATATAAAAGCTTCAGGAGCCGGCCCCGTGGCCGAGTGGTTAAGTTCGTGCGCTCTGCTTCAGCAGCCCAGGGTCCGCGGGTTCAGATCCCGGGTGCAGACACGGCACCGCTCATCAGGCCATGCTGAGGCAGCATCCCACATGGCACACCCAGAAGGACCTACAACTACAACATACAACTATGTACTGGGGGGCTTTGGGGAGAAAAAGGAAAAAAAAGAAAGGAAGATTGACAACAGATGTTAGCTCAGGTGCCAATCTTTAAAAAAAAATAAAATAAAAGCTTCAAAAGTAACTACCTGTGATTTTACGTGTCCCACACAGTACATTTTTTAATATTTTAATTTGATGTTTTAAAATTTTTTTTTTGAGGAAGATTAGCCCTGAGCTAACTGCTGCCAATCCTCCTCTTTTTTAGTGAGGAAGTCTGGCCCTGAGCTAACATCGTGCCCATCTTCCTCTACTTTATATGTGGGACGCCTACCACAGCATGGCTTGCCAAGCGGTGCCATGTCCACACCCAGGATCTGAACTGGTGAACCCCAGGCCGCCGACGCGGAACATGCATACTTAACCACTGTGCCACCAGGCGGGCCCCTAAAATGTTATTTTTCAAAATCTAGATTTCCAATTCTTCCTGAAAAATCAAAAGGTATGACACCACTAGGACCATGTTACTGCAAGACAACAATCAGCTAGAATGGAATAGCAGCTGCCCCCTACAAGTATACTCTGCACACAGGTAATACAAACAGTGCCTTGTGTGATCTGCTCAGCTACTGTAGGTATTAAGAGTTTGCACCACTTATATTTAGTAGAACCTATATCAAATGCCATATAATGAGTAATGAAAAATTATATTCCATCGTTTAAGCTTTGACATTTTAATTAAAATCATATACTAGCTTTTTAGACAAAAAAATTTCATGAAAACATCTATTTGTTACCAGCTCATGGGAAATGCTATTCTTGAATTCCATAGCATTGAATACCTTTATCTGACAGAGGCCTTAAAAACCCAGCAGCAAGTTCCCGAAAACACGCCAATAGATTAATTACTCTGGGTCCAAAAGTTTGATAAAGGCCTCTGGAGTTACAGGGCTCTCCCACTTACTATTTGGACAACTCTGGGGGAGGGGAGGTTGTTTAACAGTACAGATTTAAATGTTTAAAGTAGCTAATACGTAATCCAGTAAAAAAGAATCAGTGGAACATAATCTATTTTAATAAAATGCCTAAAACATAGGAAAAAGTTATAATAGTTATATAGTTTAAATTTATTAATGAAAAAAACAGCGAAGATAGGATAAAGGGGGTGCACAGATGAGGATTCAGTGATATTGGTAATAAACTGGTTCTTTAAGTTAGATGGAAGGCTCACACTACTTCATTACTCACACATGTTAAATTTTCTTTTGCCTGTATTCTATTTTTCACAATTTTAGAAATTTTAATCCAAAATACTGACTGTAAAAAAAAAAAGTTAATAATCAACTTTCTGCATCCACATTCTGAGTGGAAAAAAAATGACTGAATGACTTGAAAAATGTTTTTTTACTTTTAAGGTCTCTTGAGAACAGTTTTTTGAAAGCTATTTGAATGTTAACTAAGAAGAAATGAAATCCACTGATGGAAGTTTCACCATTCATATTTAGTAGGACCAATGATTTCTGTGTCTTTAAATTGGGAAAAGCTATGCCTAAGCTATAAATACCTCTACATCAACTCAAAAGACAGATGTACTCCTGGAAGGGTTTCCATTCTAAGAATCACCAATGTTCCAATGTCTCAGTTTCCCCATCCATAAAATGAGATATATACATTAAAGAGCTGTTGAGGAAAGAATCAAGACATATGTAAAGCACCTGCCCATTGCCTGGCACATAACAGAGAGTAGCAACATTTTTTAAATCACACATTATTAGTTAACGTAATTTCCTTCTCTGAGTAGAATTAGACTAAGGCTGATAACTATCAACTAGAAAATATCTTAAGTGCAGCAGTACTAACAGCATTGAGATGGACTAGCTTACCAGATTCCCAACATTTCATTTCCAAACATTTTCTAAAGACTGGCCACAATCCTAGATATCCACCAAGGAGCATGACAAGTATTGTAAGGGAAAATGGAAGGAGAGGAGCTAATCTAATCCTCTCAGCAACTTTCTCTGCTCTACATGAGAGAATGATGGTAAAGAGGACATATAATTGAACAGATTTTCCCTCTCCTTCTACCTGCAAACACGTAGCTGTGAAGGACTTAACCAATAACCTTAAATTCTCTACCGGGCCTACAGTTTTAGGCAGCATAGAAGCAAACTACTACTACAGAATTTGGATTTTCTTAAATGATAAAATGCAAGTGACTCACGTTTGGTCATCCACCTCCACACAGGACATTCTAAAGAACAGAGGAGTTTAAACGCTCCTTCTGCCAGAGGAATGTTGTGTTTCACACACAACCAACTAATTCCGGACTATATAGCTACCACAGATTTCTGTTTATCATCCAAGGTATAGGAGGTTTAGAAAAAGAAGAAAAATCAAAAAAGAATGTTTTCAAGTCTATTTTGAGATAAACGAACACATCAGTTTACCATTTATCTCCTTGAGACTCACAAACTTTTAAAGTCCACACACACACAAAATCCCCAAAATGTTTATAATTGTTGAAGCTGGATGAGAGATACCAGAGTTCATTATACTATTCTATTTTTGTGTATACTTGAACATTTCCATAATATATAGTTAAAAAAAATGTGTACATGTGTGTCTATAGGAATTTGTATATAAACTGCTAACACAACAAACTGGTAGAGAAACACTCTATTGTTCAAAGTTTTCATACTCCAAAAGTAAGTGAATTTCATCTAGCTACTTTCTCATTCTAGAAGTTGTATTGCAGCTGACCAGACTGTCGAGTGAAGGAAATAATTAACTGTCCTGGAATAAAACAAGCCTAACCTTGAAAACACAGAGGCAAAGGGGAAAGGTGCTAAACAGTTAATAATACAACTATTGCACATTCATATATGTTCCCATCTGTTATCTTCCAACATAGATGAGTAGGTGGAAGAAAGGTAAGTATTTCAAAGCCAAATTTACTTCTTTTTTTTTTCAGTGAGGAAGATTATCCCTGAGCTAACATCTATTGCCCATCTTCCTCTTTTCGCTTGAGGAAGATTGGCCCTGAGCTAACATCTATGCCAATCTTCCTCTATTTTGTATGTGGGATGCCGTCTCAGCATGGCTTAATGAGTGGTGAGTAGATCTGTGCCCAGGATCCGAACCTGAGAACCCTGGGCACCAAAGCACAGTGCGTGAACTTAACCACTACGCCACCAGCCTGCCCTCAAATTTACTTTTTATTCTTTAAGTTGATGGGCAACAGAGGTTGAAATAAAGAAATCTAAAAAGTCCCCATTAGAAATGAAAACCATTTCTAAGAATGGAATAGTGAAAAAGAAAGTATTGCATATCCACCTTTTAAAAATAACATTCATGGCTCATAGTAGTATAACCAGCTACTTCCAAAGACCGAATATGTTTTACTGCTAGAGATAAATTCACAAAAGAAATACAGATTATACCATATCTGCTGCAACCTTCTTTTTAAATTGCCATTCAATTTTCACACGATATAATCCTAAATTCATTCCAAAATTTAACTTTTGTTAGTTATTTCTAAAAATAAATCTAGTCAAAATTAAAATACTAACTTTGCAGCAAATTAATCTTTCGTCAGCCCTATGAACAAGAATTTTGTGTTCAAAATTTAAAGCAAAACATAACTTAGGCAGACTCAACGGAGTAGGTAGGGCTACCATTTACATTATTTCTCAAGTTCAAAAAAGTTCATACGAACTTATTTAAAATGTCAAAGAGAAATACAGACTTAGATATACATCCCCCCCAAAAAATTTATAGAATAAACCTCCTCCACTGAAACCCCCCAAAATACTTCGATAGCAACAACTATTTCCTTAGTACAAAAGTGATTTGTTCACTTTCACAAAACCTGAAGCATGTAAGTTTATATAATTTCCCTTAAACTTAGAAATAAAAGAAATTGTTCATTTAGGTCAGCAAAGTTTTGAGTTTCTATCCATGGGAAAAGGCCATCATCAGGCTCAGTAAAGCACATGGCTTCAGCTTCAACGTCTTGTTCCCCAACCCACCGAGAATATATGCTTCTAAAGCAGATAACTACTTACCAGGTTAAAGACAGTTTCTACAATATCCCTATTGGATACTTCTCCAACTTCAACCAACCCCGTCAATACGGCAAATTTCATTCTGATGCCCCTGATGGGGAGTCCTGGTTTCAGGGACAATGCACCCTCTTCGGCAGAGGTTTCTTCTCCTTTCCCTCCACCTCCCCCGTCATCACCTGTTGGTGGCGGGGAAGGGACATTCTTGTCTTCACTAGCCATTACTAGTTCACGAGGAAGGACAACTCGGAGTCACTCTGGGACAGCAATCGCTGCACTAGTAAAAAGCACACACACGCAACACAAAATGCAAAGGGTCACTCTTGCAAGTTGTGGAGAAACCCCAAAAACAGTTGATGTAGAAAGTCCTTGGCGTCGCCCTCCTCCTCTTGGAGAATATCTGTCCAATCTCTCTCCCCGAGGCTGACAACAACGCCAAACCCTATTGGAAGATTAGATAAATGTTAAATAGGCTAGGTTTTGTTTTAGGGTTTTTGGGGGGGAGGATGGGAATAGTAATTGTCCGTCAAATAAGTTGCTAACGGGGTCCCAGGACCAGCCACCCTGTGCTCCCCGCCTCGAGGCGCTGGGTTCCGAGCGAAGGCGGGTTCCAGAGGCCCCTGAACAGGTTCACTCCTCCCCCACACTCTCGCAGGTTCTCGGCGCAGGGCAACCTCTCCTCACAGGTGCACGGAAAGAGAAACCGTCGCTGGGAAAGGTGGGGTCAGAGGAAAGGAGGGGACCCCCAAGCTACCATAGAGGTAGAAAGTTCCTCCTCACCTAGCCCCTCCGGACTCGTCCTCACCCCCTGCCAGGGAGCCGCGAGACAGAAGTGGCGGCGGCGATGTAGGGCAGGAAAAGGCGGGGGAAGGGGGCGGTGATTATTCTCAACGCTCGGCCCAGGGGGAGGAGTGGAGCACCTCTCAGGCACCTGAGATTCGACGGGGAGGGGAGGGGCGGTGTGTGTGGTGGCCAGAAGGGAGCGGAGGTCGGGTGGCGGCGGCGAGGAGAGGAGGGAGGAGAGAGAGGTCAGTGCACCTGGTCGCAGCCTCCAAGTTTCCCTAGACCGCTCCCCGGGAGTCCGCGGCTGCACAGAACTCCATGGCTTCCCGGCCCGCCCCACCCCTGCGCTCAATCTTTGCAAAAACAGCCTCTGCCGGCGCTACGGATGCCGAGGCTGAGGCTGCTGGCGGTGGTGAGGATGCTACTGCCACAGCCCGCCCCGCCACAGCTCGCGCGGCCGTCCCTGTGCCCACTAAAGCTGCTCGTCGCCGCCATGACAGCGCCGAGGGCTGCCGGGCGCGGCGTGCGCGTGCGCGAGCGCGCGGGGCGCTGGGGCGGGCGGGCGCGCGCGAAGGCGGATGCAACCGTGCGGCAGGGTGGGGACGCGCGGGCGGCCTAGGGGGCCCGGAGGGGGCCCGAAGAGGGCGCGGGGAGGGTTGGGGACCCGCTGGGCGCGAGCTTGCTGGCGGGACAGCGCGTGAGGGCGGGCATGTGAGCGGGCGCGCAGCTCAAGTAGCACCAGGTGTGTCCCCAGCCCGGCCAGGAAAGACCATTCCTTCAGGGGCCGACTCTTCCCCTGCCTCCCACCCCCAGACCTGGGAAGGTGGTTTGGCAAGTGCTGAGGCGGTGATTCTGACGCTCCTTCTGTTGTTAAGTTACCGTAGGGTCTCTTGGCGCGGAGGGAACCCGCCACACGTTGCCAAGGTGTCTTCTTGGACTTGGAGAAGGACACCTGAGGGACCGCTACAAGGCAGAGAGGTGGCAGCGCTGGAGCCAGGGAGGCTGCTGTCCTTGTCTCAGGGGAGCAGAGAGTCCCCACGCCTGACTGCTTTCAGCTGCTGCCCGCCCAGCGCGCTCGGCGAAGACTTGGAAAGAGATTCCCACTGGGATGCCCCGGCAGCTGCCACCATTCGGAAGGGGGTGGGGGAGAACGTATCGACGAGGAAAGGGAAAGATTCCTTGCTTTGCAGCTGCCGTGCCACCAAACCTCTCCCACATTCTAAGGAAGGGAGGATTCCTGAGACAGCTGCTCCGAACAGCGTGGAGGCGGGGTTAACATTGCCTGTAGATCTCTGAGAGTTTTTTTCCTCTCGTGATTTTCCAATGTGAAAGTCAGGTTCGCCTCATTCTCAGATTAACTGAAAAGATAAATTATATTAGGATTGTAACCAGCACAGATCCTTATAATGTATCCTTCTCCTCCACCCCCACTATTAGCAGTAAAGCTTTCTTCCTGATGCATTAGTGAAAACAAACAAATACAGAAGAAAGTGGTTTTTCACCCTTATGGTACTCTTTCAAGTCATAAGGCCTTAAAAAAAAATTTTCATATACTCGCAGTTCCCTAAAATGCAAGTGAAGCAAAAAGTTGGGTCAAAAGTTAGGAAGTACCATGGAGGAATCAGAAGAAAAAATTGTATTGGTTTGAGAGATGAAATAGTTTCCTAGAGAACGGGTTATTTGAGATGGGCTTGAAAAGTAAACTGAACTTTATCACATGGAAATTTGGTAGGAGGGAGGCAACATGAGGAAAGAGAAGCACAGGAGTATCTTCTTTAGAAAAGTGTTACATCTTTTTAAAATACTAAAATGAATTCAGCCGCACCAAATCTCATGTGGTTGCAGATGTTTTTTAAAGATTTGTTTTCTGTAAGTGGGCTTAAATACTCCAAAGATGAGACAGACATTTTTCTCATGATCTGGATTGGTGATTCTTGCATTACCAGGGTTGAGGCAAGCAGCATCATTGGCTTGCCGTTCCCTAAATCCAAAAACTATTTAAACACTTCAGGTTTATATTTCAGGTCATTAAATGAATGTCTGCAATAAGGGGAAGTAGGGTGTACCTGTAGAAGAAAGAGAACTCTCACTTGACCTTTAACACATCAATAGAGAGGGAGGGAACATTAGAGAAAAAGCTTTTTATAGCATTTTGCCTCCTCAGATTTAGGCAAATAGTCTAACCTTGAGTATGTTAATATATCTGACATATAGGTGCCGGTAAAGTATTTATTAAGTAAATAAATGTTCTCCATTAAGAAGGAGCAGGTGATAGTAAAAATTATCTAAACATGATGTAGTCACAAATATTCAGTCTAAATGATCCAGGGCTAAGGTTTGTGTCTGTCATGGATTTGTCAATTCACTGCTAACACTCTTCTACTGATGAAACAAAAGGAGATGTAAGACAATTATCCAAATATTTCCCAAAAAATTGCCAACTCTTTTTTACAGTTCCTCAGGATTATTCAACCTGCCTTACTTTACCCCTGGTTACAGTAAAATGGTTGGCAAAAATTGGAGATTCACTGCAGAAGGAAGGGTTAGGAAAGTAGAAGGAGAAACTTTACTTCTAGCCGCAGTTAAAATACAGTAACTGTGGATAGTTTGGTGTAAAGAATAGAACCATGGAGTGCTTCAGGGTGAGTTATCTGTCCACCAACTATTAAGCTCCTTAATGGCACAATACTCTGAACATTGTAGGTACTCAATACATATTATTTGGATTAAGTTAAAACTCTAAAGTTACTTGCTTTAATTTTTCTGGCCTGAAAGCCCTTGCTTGAGTCTATACAACTACTACCAGTTAGAGGAAGGAAGATCTTGGTATAAATGGCTATATTAATGTGGAAAGCAGTTTTACCATCTATTAAAATTTATCTTTTTGATACTATAATGGAAATTTTCTAGTCAAAAGTCTTCATATGGACTATCAGCAGTTGAGTTTATAGGCCTGCCTTACTTATTTCCCTGTATCATACACCCAACTTACTACACAAAAAGGAAGAAAGACAAGAAGGAGGAAAAAAGATTATTTCTTGTAAAGTCAGGCTTAAGTTTTCTATCACCATCTAATTTCTCTCTCTCTGACCTCACCATCTTGAGAGAATTAAAGGCTAAAGACTCATAATTTCAGTTGCCTTCAGCATACATTGAAACCATAGCAGGAAAGAAAAATACCCAATGGATTCATAACAGGAAGCCTTGTGCATAACTCAGAGGAACTCAAGCAAAGAGAATGTAATTTCATGGTGAAATCAAGAAGATTATTGATCTACAAACCCGTACCTGTACATACAAAGAAAATTTTTATAACAAAGACGGGATGGAATTTTCTTTCTTTCTACCAGAAAGAACACCCACTCCTCCCGATTGTAACTTCTTGGCATTTTGCTAGAGTATGGATTAAATGATAATTTAGGGGAAGGATACTGCCTACATGATTTGCTATGCACTTGGATATGTATCCCTGGATTTCGAGTCTTCTTCAAATTGTTATTCCATGTAGCCTATGACATCACAGCCTGGAAGTTTCGGCCTTGGTTTGCAGCACCCTCCTTGTGAGAAAATCAAACATTGCTTTGCTATTCATTAAATTTCACTAATGTTAAATAAAACTTCAAATGTTGGTAACCAATTAATTAATGACATTTTTTATTGGGCATTAGATGCTGGGAACAATTACAATTTAGAAGGAAAAGACAGGCCAGCGCAGTGGCGTGGTAGTTAAGTTTGCACACTCTGCTTCAGCCACCCGGAGTTTGCAGGCCCAGATTCCAGGTGTGGACCCACACGCCACTCATCAAGCCGTGCTGTGGCAGCATCCCACATATAAAATAGAGGAAGGTTAGCACAGATGTTAGCTCAGGGACAATCTTCCTCAAGCAAAAAGAGGAAGATTGGCAACAGATGTTAGCTCAGGGCCAATGTTCCTCACAAAAATAAATAAATAAAAAGATTAAAAGTTCATATAATTGTTCAATATCTATAAGTTCAAAATGATCCACATCAACTTAGTACATTTTGGGCATTTTTAAATTCTTTTTTTCTTGCGTATGTCACGCAAGGAGTAGAGACTTTGAAAACAGCGACTTCACTTTCAGCAAGTATGCTAACCAAGACATACTTTTTTAGACATAAAATATTAATGTAGTATGTGCTATAGTTGATGTGGACATAGACTAGGTTGGTTGATGTATCTTTTCTATTTTTCCATCTCTATTTTGTTGAGTAGTGTGTAAATAGGTAGCCCATTTACAGTGTTCTCTTACAATAGTAAGATAGTAATTGTCATGAGACTGCAATGAAATGTACCACCACCACATCCTACCTTTGCAATTTATATAAATGCATAAGCCTAGAATGACTCTTGGCATTGTCAGTTAAATTCTGAATTTCTTGTTCAGGTGAGGTCTCTGAGAGGTCAGTGTATCCCCTGAAAGTGGTAGATTACCATTTCAGTCATCAAGATAGAAGTCGGGGAGCCGGCCCGGTGGTGCAGTGGTTAGGTTTGCACGTTCTGCTTCAGCGGCTGGGGGTTCGCTGGTTTGGATCCCGGGTGTGGACATGGCACCGCTTGACAAGCCATGCTGTGGTAGGCATCCCACATAGAAGGTAGAGGAAGATGGGCACGGATGTTAGCTCAGGGCCAGTCTCAGCAAAAAGAGGAGGATTGGCAGCAGATGTTAGCTCAGGGCTAATCTTCCTTGAAAAAAAAAAAAGATAGAAGTCGGGGTTCACATAGGAAATGTAGGAAATGAGATACCAGGAGACTGACTTCAAGCAGACAGGAGAGGAAATTATTTTTTTCTAGCCCTCACTCTCTGGGGTTTGAATTTTGAATTGCTTACTAGTACTCCAAGTAGAAGGGGAAAGATGACTTCTGTCATGTAGAGGCATGCTTAGAGCATTACTTTTTGAAACGCAAGCCACATGGAGAAGCTACATGGAGAAAAATGAAGGCCCTTCAGTCAACAGCCCCAGCTGAGTTCCCAGCCCACAACCAGCACGAACTGCCTACCATGAGAGTGAGCCATGTTGGGTATTACAGCCAGGTTGAGCCTTCAGATATCTACAACCCTACCACATGGTAGAATTGCCCTGTTGAGTCCAGTTAACCCACACAGAAATTGTAAGAGATAATGAATACTTGTTAATTTAAGCCACTGAGTTTTGGGATTGTTTGTTATATAGCAATAGATGGAAAACTAAAACATCTGATAAAACAGATTATTTAGTTTTGGATTACTCTTTCTAACCATATTACTTTTGTTTGTCCAGAGAATAACTTTTAAAAATATTCCAGCCTGTTCACAGCTATGCTGTAATTTAGAGTCCCCATAATTGGGCCTGTATATTAAAGAGGGTAGTAGCATGGTATTTAGCCAGAGATCCTCAAGGGATCCTTTCTAACACACGAAAAAAGAGGAGTTGGCTAGATAAATTATAGTTCTTCTATGCAATGAGATTCTTCACTGCCATTAAAAATCACATTGGAGGGGCTGGCCCCATGGCTGAGTGGTTAAGTTCATGCGCTCCGCTTCCACCGCTGGGCGTGGACACTGCACCGCTCATCAAGCCAAGCTGAGGCAGCATCCCACATGCCACAACTAGAAGGACCCACAGTGAGAAACATGCAACTATGTACCGGGGGCTTTTGGGGAGAAAAAGGAAAAATAAAATCTTTAAAAAAAAATCGCGTTGGAGATAGTTAATAGACATAGAAAATTTTCGTGATATAGTAAGTCAAGAGTCTCTTTACCTTTTTTAGTCATGTACCACTGATAATGTAATACCAAATAGGAGCAAAAAATATTTAAAGCAAGAAGAAATTCACTCATTAATTCAAATCATTCCAAAAAACATTTATTGAGCATTCCTGTATATTAAGTACTGTGTTAGACAATTAGGTTAGAAGAGAAAAATCCAGTCCCTGCCTTGAGAACTCACAGTATAGTCATTGAGACAGACATTACAACACAGTATGTTAAACCTATAAAAACCTAAAAGAGACTTCTAGGAAAAGATATACCAGAGCTGAGTATTAAAGAATAAATAGAAATAAGCCAGATGAAAAAATCAAAGAAGGTTATTCTACAGTATGAAAAGTCTCCAGAATGGTTGGGCATTTTAACCTTAGAAGACAATTGAATTCCAATTTTCACTCTTAAATAATTAAATTTTTCTTCTGGATAGAACTATAGAGCAGGAAAAAGGTTCCTCAGTCAATATATATTGAAAAGCATATCCTATCACCCCCACTTTATCACACCCTCTTTATCACACATTATGTATGAGGAACCTAAGTATGGGTAACTCTCATCCCATGACATTAAATAGTATTGTGATTGCTTAAAATGCCATTATAGTGTTTCTTGTCCCTGCACAAAGGGGAAAACAGAACTCAACTGTGTTTACACAATAGGATGCAGAAGGAAAATGAATAGATTATGATCCATTCTTGGTTTTATTATGAATGAAAACTATGTTAGCCTAACTGAGAACAGCAAGTAGGTTATTATGGGAAGTTGACCAGAGATGAAGTTAGAGAGATGGAGCAGACCACAGTAAACCAGGCTAAGAATTGGACTCTACCCTGAAGACAACCTGGTGCCTTCAGGGAATTTCACACTATAAAGTAATAGGACTTCACTAGCCTGTTAAGAAAATCACTAGCAGCTACCCAACCGCAATACATATTTGGGTGAAATCATCCACTGCATAGTATTGATGGAATGCAGTGTTTATATTACTTTACAATAATTTGTGTTTATAAAGGTGCAAAATTGTGTGGGATAATAAGTTGATGAACATATTCATTGAGGGTTGGTACTTAGTTTTAGGCCTTTTCCCCAAAATGACAAACTGAAGATAAAGTAAAAGTGTCTTAGATTATCTATTAGGCCATAGATATCACACTATCTTTAGTGAAGAGCTATGGGAGTGTATAAATATTATTTAGCTGTTAACCAAATGCTTGAATTGAAACATATTTGGAAGACTGATGTGACACAGTTCTAGGAAACTGGCATGGTGCAAACCTAGGAAAATGTATTGCCACTGGAAAACTGAATAACCACATGAAAAATGAAATTGGGCCCCTATCTTAGACCACTTACAAAAATTAACTTGAAATGGATTAAAAACTTAAACGTTAGACCTGATACCATAAAACTCCTGGAAGGAAGCATGGGGAAGAAGCTGTTTGACATTGCTCTTGAACAAGTGACTGTTTGGATATAACACCGAAAGCATAAGCAACAAAAGCAAAAATCACCAAGTAGGACTACATCAAACTATAAAGCTTCTGTACAGCAAACAAACAATCAACAAAATGAAAAGGCAAGATATGGAATGGGAGAAAGTATTTGCAAACCATATATAAGATAAGGGGTTAGGGGCCGGCCTGGTGGCGCAGTGGTTAAGTGCGCACGTTCCACTTTGGCAGCCCAGGGTTCACCAGTTCCAATCCTGGGTGCGGACATGGCACTGCTTGGCAAAAGCCATGCTGTGATAGGCGTCCCACATATAAACTAAAGGAAGATGGGCATGGATGTTAGCTCAGGGCCAGTCTTCCTCAGCAAAAAAAGGAGGGTTGGCAGCAGATGTTAGCTCAGGGCTAATCTTCCTCAAAAAAAAAAAAAAGAAAAAAACAAACAAAACAATTAAAAAAAGAGAAGGGGTTAGTATCAAAAATATATACAAACTCATATTACTCAATAACAAAAAAACAAAGAATGTGATTTAGAAAATGAGCAGGGAAATGAAATAGGCATTTTTCCAAAGAAGACATCCAAATGGCCAACAGGTACATAAAAAGATGCTCAATATCACTAATCATTGGGAAAATGCAAATCAAAACCACAACGTGATCTCACCTCACACTTGTTAGAATGGCTATTATTAAGAAGATAAGAGACAACAAGTGTTGGTGAGGATGTAGAAAAAAAGGAACCCTTGTACCCTGTTGGTGGGAATGTAAATTGGTTTAGCCACTAGAGAAAGCAGTATGGGAGTTCCTCAAAAGATTAAAAATAGAACTACCATATGATCCAGTGATTCCACTTCTGGATATATATCCAAAGGAAATGAAAACAATATCAAAGAGATACCTATACTCTCATGTTTATTGTAGAATTTTTCACAATGGTCAAGATATGGAAACAACCTAGGTATTTGTCAATGGATGAATGGATAAAGAAGATGTGGTATACATATACAATGGAATGTCATTCAGCCATGAGAAAGAAGGAGATCTTACCATTTATGATAACAGGGATAGACCTTAAGGGCATTATGCTAAGTGAGATAAGTCAGACAGAGAAAGACAAATACTGTATAGTGAGATAAGTCAGACAGAGAAAGACAAATACTGTATAATATCATTTGTATGTGGAATCTAAAAAAGCCGAACATAAAAACAGAGAGTAGAATGGTGGTTGGCAGAGGCTAGGGGGTGGGAGAATTAGGGAGCTGTTGCTTAAGGGTACAAACTTGCAACTAGTAAATAAATGAGTCCTAGAGATCTAAGGCACAGCATAGTGATTATAGTCAACAATACTGTATTATAAACTTCAAAACTGCTAAGAGACTAGTTCTCAATTGTTCTCACCACAAAAGGAAATGATAATTATGTGATGCG